GATTATCTTCCCTTAAGATTATTGCTTGCTCGCTACTCTCGCTACCGTCGCTACTCTCGCTACCGTCGCTACCCTCGCTACTCTCGCTACCGTCGCTACTCTCGCTACTCTCGCTACTCTCGCTACCCTCGCTACCCTCGCTACCTCCGCTACCCTTGCTACCCTCGCTACTCTCGCTACCCTCGCTACTACCTTCACTACCTACAATGCTATACTCTTCACTACTATATAACTGCTTGATTATCTTCCCTTAAGATTATTGCTTGTAAATGATTAAAAATAGAACAAGTTAATACGCAAATTTCTATATTGTATACGAACATAGAATTTATTTGTTCAGTATATAATTAATATTTAACTATCCCTTTGACCAATCACAAAAGACCTTGTTGGAGCTGCTACATGACCCGTTTGCTGTGCAAAAAGCGGAAGTCGTTCAACAACTCAAAAACACTCAACCCTGATTGGACAACGAATTTAACAAACATTTCAAATTTTTTTAACAGTACTGTTATAATTTCAATCATACAATCAAAACTATTCACAAACGTTATAAAGTGTAAATATTACTGCAAGTATATAAAACTGTAGTACGTTAATATGTATAATAAATTGTATTTCACATTGTGTTTGTTAAAAAAATTTGAAATGTTTGTTGAAATTCGTTGTCCACTCAGGGTTGAGTGTTTTTGAGTTGTTCAACGACTTCCGCTTTTTGCACAGCAAACCGGGCACGCGGATATATTTTGGCCGAATTTTGTTATTCCCTCACGGATTTCAGAGCGAATTTAAGCTCTTTGATTAAAGCATCGTTGTTTTGAGAGTTATACGGTATCATTCTTGCAGGGGATATCGATTAATCGTGAAAGAAATGCATTAAAAGCGAAAAATCGAGGATAATTTCGTGTGACATATGCCAAGTCTGGGCTATTTTGGTCTCAATGTCTCCGTCACTGAGCTGTATAATAACTGGAGGACCTGCTCCTATACTTCGTTCAGTGATCAAAGCATCCTCGGTCCCAGGGCCTCACGGCTGACACTGCGTTGCCGGAGGCCCTGGCGAAAACCAAAACGAGAATTGATTTGATTGGTCGCATGAAAACAATGGAATGCGGAAATTGAACACGAACTTTGACTAATAAATATGGCTGACAATATGAATAGATAGGAGTGTATTAACTCTTCAAAGAAGACGAAGAGTCGTTTTGGTTGTTGAAATCTGCTGTCTATCAATGGAAATTTTATTTTTAATATAAAAAATGTTGGATGTTGTGTCACAATGTATTAAAAAGCTGCGCAAAATTGGACATTGGATTATTTAAAGATTGAAATCGCCGAAGCCGAAGGGACATTTTATAGTTTTATATACGAGATTTAATTATATACAGAGTATAAACAAAGACAGGCGAAAGGCTATGCGAGAAAAACTGTACCGTTAGTTGTACAAATCTACAAAAACTGTGAGTGATGTCTTGTATCTTTCAATTACAAATGAGAAAATCGTGAATGAGTGTCTGTGTGGTTTTTAAAGCAAGAGGGGTCCATGCCATACATAATATTATATTAAATATAGTATATTATAAAATATAAATTATTTTATAATATACTATATTTAATAGACATACTTTGTTGATTTTATATCAATTTCATCAAAGGCTCTTAATTTATGTAAAAATATTGTATTTTATATCAAATGTATTTAATAATGAAATATTGTATTTTAATACTATTTAATAATGACAAAGTGATTAATATAATAGCTGGAAATGTTAGTTCTTCCACCTTGTTTTGCCTTAAATTTCATGCAATATATAGCTTAATTTATAGGCTATCAATGTTTTTTACAGTTGACGAATTATATTGTTAATAGTAATACTGCAACTTTTCTACACTGGTGATGAGCCTCCCAATTTTATGCTGTATACATACATTCAGTATTTAGTAATGTGTCAACATCTGGGAAACTAACTTCTGAATCTCTTACATGCAGTTGACATAATTTTTATAAATTATAGTGCTAGATTTCAAGGTTTAATTAGTCACCATAGGCACAGGAGGAAAGTTTTGAAATTTAAATTTGAGGAGCACTTCATGTCAACAGCACCAAATTTATAATTTGTAAACTTTTGAAGAGAAATTGGGCATGGCAGAGGCAGTGCAGGGATCAGGTAGACAGGTATGGGGGGGGCTGTAGCTCCCCTATGTGGAAATTCTAGCTCCTCCCCAATCAGGGAAGTGGAATGTACTGGGAAAAATTATGTTTTGTAATGACCTTGTTTTGTAGTCCTGGTAAATGCACTGTTACAGACAATAAATTCTGCACCATTTCATGAGAGCCAAAAAATTCAACATTTTCATGTGTGAGCATAAGTTGAACATACAAAACAATAATTTTACTGTTTGAAAGATTATAGCCCCCTGTTGGGAACCTGATATTCCTTGTCGGGGAACCTGATATTCCTTGTCGGGGACCTCCTGAGCATCCGGCCTCCACACACAAGCACACTGGTACCCACACACCTCAATTTCCTACACCACTGCAAATTAAAACACAGCATGGATGCACCATAAAGCTGTTATTTATTTTTTACAGTATCTTTATTAACACACCAAATTTTCATAGAGAAAATTGTAAGAATAAATCATTATTTATATCAATGACACAAAATGGTTTATTTTGTTCACGTAATTTCTATCTTTCTCTGAGTTGATGAAATTTCTTTCTTTCTCTGAGTTGATGCAACTTCTTTCTCTGAGTTGATGAAGAAACAAACTTCCCACATACCAATCCTTTCATAGCAAGGCCTGAAATCCTTCCTAAAGTAGTAGTACAATGTTTATAAATTAAAACAATCTTTAGCCAAAACTTTTAGGCCAATCATAATTTAACAGCAACATGGATAATTTTATGATTGAAAATGGCTGGCAAGAAAATACATATTTCAAGTCATATATATGTATTAAACTGTACAATATGATACTAGCTTGTAGTATGCAGTCACATATGATACCTTACAGGTAGTTGTATATCCTACAAACAATCGTTATCTGGGGATACCAAGATTAAGGTGGGGGTAGGGGGGAGGGTAGGTGGGTTGAGGGGGGGGGGTAGGTGGGATGCACATAATATTTCAGGTTTTTATGCTCATTGTCTCTGTCTAAATGCCGCATTTTACATGTGCCAAATCTAATGTGAACAAAAGTTTGACTCAAATAATAAAGTTTGACATACTTTTTATTTAAATGTTGAATTTATGTACATACCGGTACGTAGTAAACATATGTAACTTATACATTTGTCCAAAGTAATTACTTTGCAATTATACCCACTCTCCCCTTGATGAGCAAAATTGTCTGACATTAGACAGTAAGACAGTAAAGTACAATAGATAATCTGATTAACCCATTGAGCAGTAGCACTCTCACATTAACCAGTACACTCAATCATCTGGCATGTTAAGCTGAGTAAAATAATTTGGTAGCACTTAAAAGGTTGAACAAACTTTTCTAGACTTGGCACATGTAAAATGCAGCGTTTAGACCGTACGTATTAAACAGAATATATGTTGTCTGTATGTGTACAGTCTTGCAGATATAAATATAGCAAAGAAAGAATATTGAGAAACAACCAAATATATCAGTATCACTCACTCACCATTCAGTAACAAGATTGGGCTTCGTCCACAACTATCGCTTTTAAATTGTCTGTATATTTCGTCGATTATAATAAAAATTCAAGAACTTTCATGTTCTCCAATTGATTGCTGTCCGTATACAATGACTCTCCCAAACTACACATTGTATCCTTCGATTCATCAACTTGAACAGCTTTCATAATTGAAACATTTACATGATTCTTTAGTTTACTGATTTGGTCAATCACTAAAACATTTAATGGTGAAATAACCAGATCAAATTAATGTTTATCTTGCATGTAAAACATTATTTCTTTCGAGAAATTCTCAAAGTTCACTCCTTGCAAAAAAAGATGCAGAGTCAGCATTTTATTACGTTTACTTCCGGCAAACTACAAGATTTTTGAAGTTCCGGTTTTGGTTTTCGCCAGGGCCTCCGGCAACGCAGTGTCAGCCGTGAGGCCCTGGGACCGAGGATGTGATCAAAGTGAAGCCAAAAAAATGGCGGATTTTGACGTTTGCTGACGCCATTTCCATGACAACTGGTCCGTAATTCTCACAGAATTGCCACTGACCAACCGCGATCCTGAACTTCAGACGACGTTTTCACCCCCCTGGTTTTGGCAGTGTTTTTAGTTAAAAACATAATATTTTCTCGAGCTCGTATTTTGCTGGGTTTTTTTACAACTTGGAAGGAATTAGAGTGCCGTTTTGCTCCGCTTGCTGATGCAACAATTTATTTTACATAAAGGACGAGTAATTCTTTTTACAGGTAAGATTTATGGGACGGATAGAACGAAATTATAAAAATATTTTGTCAAAATTCAACACTTGTTCACTTGACTTCACTCATCATGTCAAATGAACTGCAAATATTTCAATACTGGACATAAAAAACCTTGTAAAATTTGTGGTCATAAGATTTACTGTTTTGTTTTATCCCTGGCAATGTGTCTTACACAGATTATGGTGTGAAAAATCATTTAAATACACTTAAAATATAGACCAGGATTAGCACATGCAAGGCCAGAGAGTGGGTCAAAATAACCAGGGCCACTACACTGGATTCACTTGTTATGACATCAACATATACAGTAGTAGTGTACTGTTAACGACTGTTAGTGTTAATGACCCACATATACAATAAATTGACTTATCAGATTTTGTCATATAATCAAGTGACAAGTATGACGAGACTCCAGAAACTGTTAAATTTAATATTGTGAGCAGTGGCATAGCCAGTAAAACAGAAGTGGGGGAACAATCAATGGCGTCATAAAGAAATTGGAGGGAGCTGCCGAAGGCATGAGCCTATTAGCGGTTCTGGGGGCACACTCACCCAGAAGATTTTGAAAATTATCTGAAAACATCCACATCATCCCTACACAAGAAATGTGAAGTTGCAAGCCCCTGTCCTATTTATAGTGTATTTTGCTTTTCTCAGGAGTATCGATTCTAATCGTCCCCTCCAGACAGCATAAATTTCCTCCACGTATAGTTGGAGTGTGGATTTTTCTGGAATATGACTCAATGTTCAAACTATACATGTACATGTATTTCCATAACAGAGCGGAATACACAAAGAACTACAACAAGAATATTTTTATTAATTAGTAAACCTTAAACTGTGGATCCTTCCTCTCTCTTGAAAAAATTGTTATCTTAATTTCTCTGTGATTGTCTTGACTTTCATGAAATTGGTTACAAAGAAACTATGATATGCAGTTTTGTGGATGAAAAGAAGCATGCATCCACAATTTTTGGTAATAAATGCTGTTTTTCAGGTGGAAGAATGTGTAATAATATTGGTGTAATATGATTGTTGTCTTTTATCTTGCAGGAATTATTGGCTATAGATATCACAAAACATGGGATGTACAAGGCATTAAAATGCAGATGGCAATCATTGATGGATTTTCTGGGGGGGGGGGTGCACCCCCAATAGTATCTTCACCACCTCAGAAAGTTTTTCCACCACAGAAATTTAAATGCTGGTTTGATTAAATGACAGCAGTATAATTGAACAAGAATTTTGAACTAAACAAGGCCAATATTCTCGAAATATCTTGGGGTCGTTGCCCCCAACCTTACCCCAACTGTGTCCCCACTAGTGACTGTACCCTCAGACTCTGCTGCATCTTACTCAGCACACTACGTGCTCCTTGCTCACTTTTCTGCACACCCACACTGCCCAAGCAAAATTTGAAAATCTGTCTATGATGGTGATGATAATTAACTTATAAAAGTATAAACCTTTATTATTAAGTTAATTAAAGAATCATTATCAACTACAATGCATTGCATGCTCGTGTTTGTTTATACATATGGGATCTGTGCAATTAAATATGATAATTATTTGCATGATATGATAAGTACTGCGCTGCCTGCTATTACAGTATTACTTGAAAGCCTTCAGGGGTGAATCCAGCAAGGTTTTTCTAGGGGGTGCTGGGTGAGCAGCCAAGTGTTTCTTTATAATTTTTTAGGGGGTGGTGGGGGTGAAACGACTCAAGCACTAAAGGCGCAAGCTCCCTAGGGGGTTGAGGGATATGCCCCCAGAAAATTTTGAAAATTAGATGCTATTTCCTGTGATATGGACATTGAATTATGAGCTTCAGTTTGACTTCAAAAAAGGGAAAACCTTGGAAATTATGCCATGTTTCTGAATTTGTTTCTATTGCACCCCTCTTGACCAAGGCCAACAGGGGTGTGCACCCTCCCTATTAATCCACCCCTGAATTAAGTTAACACATACTCCACTACATCATGTATAGTATTGTATACTTAATTACAATAATTTTAGTGTTAATTTAAAATTATTCACTGTTAATAATTTTACTGTATTGAAAAGTCCAATTAAAATAGTTCAAAATTAATCCAGCTTTTGTGTCTTCAATTTCCATACATCTTGCTTGTAATTTTGCCTGCCCTACTTTTACTTGTCAATGGGAGAGCCACTCTATATGGGTTAACTAGGAAACCAGAGTGAGTCAGGACAAATGCCAGATTATGATATCCCAATTGTGAGATAATTCTGGAATAAACAAAAATATATTATATGTTGTAACTTTGAGCACAAAAATGATGATGGGAAAAACAAAACAATGTGACTCAGAGACACCAGAACCATTGGTGCAATTATCAGGCTTAACCCATTGAGCCGCAATGCGCCCCAGCGTGCCCTATTTTTTTTTACTTGTCTGACACCAGATGATTTTACTTGTCAATTGGGGAAGCTCTGCAGCTTAATGGGTTAACCAAAAAATCTGACAATGCCTCTAGTTAACACATTGAGCTGCAGTGCGCCCTACTTATTTTTTTAACTTGTTTAACGCCGGATGATTTTACTCGTCAATGGGGAAGCTCTGCAGCTTAATGGGTTAATAGTATAATAATCAAAAGTGGCCAGGATACAAGGTACTTTTCCAGTGCAAGGGAAGCAACATACAGTAGTTACGAAGTAATTGCCAGATTGCCATCCAGTATCTGGTGTTCCAAATTGTTAAACCCATTAAGCTGCAGAGCTTCCCCATTGATGAGTAAAATCATCTGGCATTAGACAATAGTAAAAAAAAATAAGCAGGGTGCACTGCAGCTCCCAACATGTTGTAAATGGCTAATATAATATTTTTTCATCACACAGCAACATTTTCTTGGGGGAAGGGGGTATATATAAGTTATATATACAGGTATTTTGGAAAATATTTGAGTACTCCAAAAGTCTTGTCATTGACATTGATTAGCCTTGTATGCAAAGTTGGCACATATTACACAAACCTGAATATATTTAAACACATACGTGACATACCGTTTGCTTTGAAGGAACGTCTGGAGTTAATAGCATTTTCTAAAGTAATTTATAAATAACAAAAAGTTGTAGTTTCTGCAACCAAATTTTGAAATATACAGATGCCAAATTACACCAAAAAACCAGCAAAAGGCTGTTTTCTTAACAAAATAAGTGCATTTCATCGTCAAGCTTAAGTTAAGCCTACCAATTTTATGTGAGATAAGATAAAGCATAAATAAAATGGAATGAAATACGGTCAAATACCTGTTTATAGCTCGCTGATTCAAATATCCTCTTTGGCTTTGCTCATATTTTGCAAGGACAGCGAGGTTTGAATTTTGTTGTCTTTCCCGGGAAGAATAAAATGTACGACTTGCACATCTTTGAACCAATAACCGAATTTAGAAAAAATATCTCGAAAACAATTTAAAAATCGAGTCAAATATCGAGAAAATACTACAAAACCCGAGCAAAATTGCAAAAACCTAAAGTTTTTTAAAGAAAACCAGGGGGGGGGTGGAAATTGTAGCGGGCTCAAATCCGAGCCTGGTCAGTGGTAATTATCATGAGAAACACGGACCAGTTGTCATGGAAATGGCGTCAGCAAAGGGCGAAATCCGCCATGTTTTTGGCTTCACTTTTTTTTTCCGTGCAGGTCCTCCAGTAATATAGTATAGCTCAGTGGTATAAACCTTTACAAGAAGTTAGATTTAAAACACATTTATTTCTTCAAAAATAGGAAAAAAAGGGTATGGCAAACGCGAAAATGTATCCATTTTTAAAAATATTATTGCTATGGACACAGCATAGGTTGGAAGCATGCATAAATTAATACAGATACGGATTATCGTTTAAACCATTTATTTTTAAAGTACAACAACTATTTACACAAATATACAGTAATTAAACATATTGTCCAGTTTTTACAGTGTTCTCGAGTTTAGATCGTGTTACTTTGTAAACTGTTCCATCCTCCGTTAGCACGAGTTTACGTTTTTCTCATTGACTATAGTCTTAATAGTCATGACTATAGCGTTAATAGTCATGACTAAAGATTAAATCATTGAATCCTAATATTGAATCATTGAATCCTAATATTGAATCATTGAATCCTAAGATTGAATCATTGAATCCAAAGATTGAATCATTGAATCCTAAGATTGAATCATTGAATCCTAAGATTGAATTATTGAATCCTAAATTGAATAATTGAATCTTACGATTGAATCATTGACAAGTGTGCCCACACCAGGAAAGCCAAAAAGTTGGCTTGACTGCGGTGGAAAGGATAATAGGGTCAAGCAAAACTTTTTAGCTTTCATGGTGTGGACAACTCGTCAATTATTCAATGTTAGGATTCAATTATTCAATGTTAGGATTCAATGATTTAATCTTAGACTATCAATTAAGACTATAGTCATGACTATTAAGACTACAGTCATGACCATTAAGACTATATGACCAGGCTCCGAGCTAGGTTCGATATTTCGAGCTAGGCTCCGAGCTATTTAGACTCGACTCCGACCTATTTAGACTCGGCTTCCAGCTATATGTGATAATTTCGGGGGGGGGGTCTGTAAACGGAAAATTATACCCTAATCAATCTCATATAATATATACACTATCGCACTGTAATTAATCATAAATAAATGTTATAAACTTTTATAAAATAGCCTTTTAAAAACACGGGCGCTGATTGATCAAAAGCTCAAAAAAACGTGTTTCTATAACTCGATTGAAACACGGGAATTTTCGCGCAGGTTGCGTGGATTGCGCGGGAATTTAAAAGACAAAATACAAACAATATTTAATAATAATAATAATACTAATAATAATACGAATATTTTAACAGGATAAAAACACTTCAGCAAGAATATTGCTGTTATCAACGCGTGTCCTGTGTCCAAAAACTACTTTAGTAAAAATCTATAATAGGTTAAAAATTGAAAGTTCAAGATGTTCTAAGCAGTTCATTAAAAGGTATCTATTATAATGTATATATATATAGATATATATAAATATATATTAGCTGAAATGTAGTTTTAATAGTTTATAAAAATCTTCAGAACTTGTTGCAGATCTAATATTCAATGGCAGCTCATTATATAATTTAGCTCCCATGAAATAGAATCCTCTTGTTGCATATTCAAGTTTTATGGTTGGTAAGTTTATCAAACAACCTCGGTTTCGTGTTTCACGTCCATGATCTTTAATTACAAAATGATCCATTAAGGCCTCCGGGATATTGCCATCTAAAGTCATTCTAACTATTTCACAGGCACGCTTCTTCCTTAAATCCATAATCGATGGGAGCTCTGTATCAGGTCGAAAATCCTTAAAAATAACTTTAGTGGCTCGTTCCCGAAAAGAAGCTAATTTATGCAGTTGTGTTGACGTTAATTTAAGATTCAAAATTCCACAGTATGTCAAAAGCGGTGTGATCATTGACTGATAAATCGTTCTCGCCGAGTCCACGTTTAAATTATCTCTAATTTTGGATAGTAGACGTAACCTTGTTGATGCACGTTTAAAACAAGCATCAAAATGACTGTTAAGATTTAATGTGGAGTCAACTTCAACACCAAGATACTTGTATTTCTTTGTGAGATTAATAACTGTATTTCCATACGGTATAGACAAAGACTCGTTTGATTTGCATATACACTTAGCTGTTCCAAATAGTAATGCTTCGGTTTTCCCTTCATTTAAGTTGATAATTAGATCATTTTCATCCAACCAGACCGTAACATTGGCCAAATCGTTCGTCAGTTTTGATTTGATTGACTCCATATTCTTATCCTCTACATACAAAACAACATCGTCGGCATATTTCACTATTCTGGATTGTTCAATTACATCGACAATGTCATTAAATGATATCAAAAACAGTAAAGGGCCTAGTATTGACCCTTGTGGGACACCGGACCGAAGATAACATTTCTGAGAAATACGGTTATTGTATGAAACGCAAGCTGCCCGTCTAAACAAATAATCTTTAAACCAATCTAGTTCAGTTCCATTTATGCCATACTGGGGTAGCTTACTTAGCAGCTTAGAGTGGCTAATCGTGTCGAATGCCTTAGTCAAATCAATAAATACAGCTCCAACCAAATTGCCTTTATCAACACTCATACGAATTTCATCGATAAACTTCACCGCCGCCAACTCGGTAGACATTTTTGGTCTGAAGCCAAATTGATTTTGCGATAATAGTTTATTTTCATTCAAAAAATTCATAACCTGACGGTGAATGATGGTCTCCATTACTTTCGATATTGCTGGGAGAACTGAAATTGGGCGATAGTTATCAAAACTCGATCTCGGACCCGATTTGTGAATTGGTATAATCTTTGCCGATTTCCATTCGGATGGAATCAGACCAGACTGCATTGACAAATTTATTATATGGGTAAGCGGTGGAGCAATGGTAGAAGCTGATTCTTTCAATAATCTTGGTGGTAAATTGTCACAACCCGTAGATTTAGTAGATTTAAGCGATCTCAGCTGTCTTTCCACTCCCAAAATGGAAACATTTCGAAACTTGAAAACTTTCTCCGTCTTTTTACCAATGTTTTTAGGGTTTCTCCAAACTAGATTACGCAGTGGAAAAGCTTTCTGCTTCAAAGTGGCAACAATGTTATTAAAATACGAGCAAAAATCGTTTGAAATTTTTGATGCATCAGCTGACATCTCCCCGTCAATTTCAAATGATAGACTCGTATTTTTGCTTGTTGATTTAACTGGGTAAATTGATTTAATTATTTTCCAAAATGACTCAGGAGTCTTCGAATTTTCTTCCAACAGATTTTTGTTATACGAGGACTTCGCTTGACGCAACAAAGTATTCACCTTATTACGCTTTAGTTTATACGCATGAAAGTCCTCGTCATTGCTGGTCCTACGATATTTACGAAGTAAACTATCCCGCTCGTTCATAAGCTGTTTGACTTCGACCGTCAACCATGGTGCTGGTTTACCTTTAACTCGCTTTGAAATAACTGGAGCACATTTTAGGTATATGCCAGTTATTATTGTCTTCATGTAAGTCCAAGCTGAGTTCACATTGCTATTATTATACACGTAGGACCAATCAACGAGTCTTAGCTCGTTGTTCATTGCGTTTTGGTTGTAGCTTTTATAGTCTCGACAAATTATAGTTCTTGGCTTAAACTTAGTCGAGTTTATCTTGCGAACACAGCCGATCATATCGTGATCGCCAATGGAAAGCGGAATAACATCCGTGGCTTTAAGTGATACCGGGTTGTTAGTGGCGATAATGTCTATCAAAGTTTTGGTCGAGCCGTTTATTCGTGTAGGCTTTTTTATCATCTGTTTGAAACCATACAAATTCAGAATTGCCTTGAATTCGGGGTTGTCTCCAGGGATTAGATAGTTTACATTAAAATCACCCAAAACAATCGATTCACTTGGCTCATGCAGAGCTTACTGATGACAATACCTCATTAAAGGTATTGTTAAAATCCCGATGTAGATATTTTGAACTGTCTGGAGGCCGATAAAATATTCCTATCAGAATATTCTTTGCATGCTTAAGTGTAATCTCAATCCAAATAGATTCAACAACTTCGTTTTCCAGGTCTTGTCTGCGCTCCCACACAATATTGTTCGAAATATAAGCCGCTACACCACCGCCTTTGCCCGTTTTTCTATAGTTACTAATAAATGTGTAGGGGTATTGAAAAAAAGTTGGAAAACGTCTGAAAACGCCGAAGAACGGTCACAAAAAAGGCAACGCTTTGCTATCGTTTTTAATCGTTTTTAATCATGTTTAAACGTTAACTAACTATTTAAAACAGTGCTTTCTTTGCAAGCATGTACGTTGACGGTTGTTGAGTGAATTATATCAGGGTTCTCCTTATCAGGCGGTAACCGGTAAAATTTACCGTTTCCACGAGCACTGATTACCGTCTGGAGAAGCCCAAGTTAAATATACGTTTGTGTACATTTGTTAAGAAATAATTAGTAATAAGGTGTGAGAAAATCCTTTATATAATAACTACAGTGAAACACGCAATTTTATTGGTCAATAGTCGTGCAGGATCAGGCTATCCTGCACGAGGAATTATAATGCCTTCGCGGGATTTTCAAAATGTCATAGTTTCACTGCAGTTATTTTATAAAACAATTACCAAATGGTTTTCCAAGCAGGATAGCGTGATCCATGCACTTGGGATGTTGCTCGACTTTTGGAAAAGTGTCAAAATACACTCGCCTGCAGCTCGAGTATTTTTACGCTTTCCGAAAGTCTCGCGACATCCCTCGTGCATGGATCACACAATCCTGCACGGAAAACCATTCGGTATTCCTTTAATAATCAATCAATCAATCAAGTATTGCTGAAATTCCACAATATTAATTATTTAGCATCGATAGATTGAATACAGAAATATCCTATAAACCCGATCTGTGAACAAAATTTTTTGGCGGAATGATTATATTATTAACCCAGCGTGGGCCTGAGGACTGAGTGATTAAATTGGCGTGTGTTTAGAATATAATCTTTAGTATTCTATAAAAGTTTAAATCTTCCCTCAAAATGCAGGAAATGCCATTTCAGATTTCAAAATTTTCCGTTGGTATACCCCAGACCCCCTAGAGGTTTGTATAGGTGCGACTTGATGCTTATACCTGTTGAAAAACTTGTTTTACCTGTCCCACTCACAACTATGGAGAACCCTGTTATATACTTTAGTAAAGTAAGCCTGGTTGAGTGAATTATATACTTTAGTAAAGTAAGCATGTTAAGTGGTCTGTTGTTTTGACATGCAGTGGTATACTTGTTCACTTGGCTATGCTTTAATTATTCTTTACACGAACGCATATCAAGATAGAATTAATATTTGTAATTAAATGTAATTAAAATCAATAAATTTATTTTTTTATTGTTTTTAAAAGGCTATTTAATAAAGGAAATAGAAAACTTTTTCCGTGTTCCTATAGAGTTATAGAAACACTTGTGGAAATTTGTGAGAAACTCGAAATTGCGCTCATGGAAACACTCGCACTTCGTCTCGTGTTCCAACGCAATTTCTCATTTCTCCCAAACTTCCACGCGTGTTTCTATGACTCTATAGAAACACGGAAAATGTTTTCAATTTCTTAAATGATTTATGGCTGCTCTATAATATTACATTGATGACGACGCTAGCCAAGAACCCAGTTCAGGCATAAGTGCCACTGACACGATGCAACGCAATTTAACTATCAAATCATTTATTAAAACAAGCTGACAGCCATGACACCGCGCTATACAATGGCAAAGCTATAAAAAAAATCGACCGGCAATTCCGATTTTCTGGTATCACTGACCCGGACATAATGAGATGAAATGCCTCGTTATCTATTGTTTTAATACGTTCGGCATATGAGTAGCGCGACGTTTGAACACGTCAGAAACGCCTAAAGGCCTAATTCCACGACGAGCGAAATGTGAAAAATTTCGCGCGAAAAGGTTGAACGCATGCGCAACGCGATTTTGGAATGTTTCTCTGCGAAATATTTCTCTTCGCCGGGTAGTTGAATTCGTTTCTACTCCGTTGCGAAATGGAAATAGCGAAACCAATCAAATGCTTGTGTTTTGGATGACAAAATAGCGAAACCAATCAAATGCTTATGTTTCGGCGAATTTTTTCTCTACTGTGGAAATCACTACGAGAGAAAATTTTCGCACAAGTGTGTTTTCACGCGAAATTTTTCGCATTTGGATTTCGCGAATTTTCGCATGGAATTTAGCCTTAACACATCAGAAACGTCGTGCCCCGTGGAATTGATACAATTTATTTATCTATAATGATGCTACACGCGATAACTCGAAATTTAAATTGTTTCACTAACAACCAAATTTTCCATATTTTAAAATTTCTATTTGCATTGCGAGCTGTTGCTAAAAGTATCCCCACGAAGCTACTGATATGCTAAACTTATTTAAAACTATTATTATTTCCATCATCCTCCTTTTTAGCGCCCAATCCGCCCATATTCCACATTTGACTATTATCTCAGTTACAACTTTAATTGAAATAGCTGTATAAGTTATGTTATGAATAATAAGCATTCCATTACAAAAAAAACATAAATCGACAACACAGAAACGTAAAAAAAGAGTCGAAAAAACTCCATTTGTGGTTAGAATTTTTGGTGAAGTTTAAAATAACGCATTTTATCCCCATATCCATTCCGTTCCGCATTTTATCCCCATATCCATTCCGTTCCACATTTTATCCCCATATCCGTTCCGTTCCGCATTTTTATCCCCATCCGTTCCGTTCCGCATTTTATTCCCATCCGTTCCGCATTTTATCCCCATCCGTTCCGTTCCGCATTTTATTCCCATCCGTTCCGTTCCGCATTTTATCCCCATATCCATTCCGTTCCACATTTTATTCCATCCGTTCCGCATTTTACCCCCATCCGTTCCGCATTTTATCCCCATATCCGTCCCGCTTCCGCATTTTAACCTAACCCATTTCAATTGACACTTTTTGCTGAACTTTTTTAATATCAGCTTTTTTACAAGCAACTGTTGTTCTGAGCAAACCAGTAATGGTGCCCATGAGCGAAAAACGAGAAACACTTACCTTTAACATCCATAATCCAGGCAAATGGTATCATAGTTATGCAAAACGTTATACCTCCCCATGCTGCCATCAGGTCTATTACATAGCTGTCCCATTTATACACTGCTCTTGCAGTTGCCTCGATTGGTCCCCAGGTATTCCAAATAATACTTTGTAGGATGGCGTTGCAGCAGTACACCAGTAAGATAAACCATCTTCTCTTATAAACTATCACCTCATCTGTTTCACTGTATAAACTGTTTGCAAATACCTTAGGTGGAAGGAGACTATCATCAGCATCATTTTGGTACGAGCTGTTGCTGTCACTATCTGTAGTCCGCATCTACAATTATAAAATAACACACATGATTTCAAATGGCTCTGAGCTGCCAAGTCTCACGGTTTACCCGCGTGAGTCCTCAGGTTTTGGGCGAAACTCCAGGTCTCACAGGTGAACTTACAAGTCTCACAGAACAATGATTCTACGCAGTGGCGTAGCCAGCCCGACGATTTGGTCCCGCTATGCAAATTTCAACACATCATTATTCATTTCTTTAGAAATTGATTGTGTTGATAGTTTATCAACATGGCAATATTGAATAGCGGGACTGAATCGTCGGGCTGGCTACGCCACAGATTTTTAGTGATCAAATTCTGCATCTTTGAATGCAAGGAATTTGTTGTTTGTTTTTCTTTTAGAATTGGATTGAAAAGGTGGTTGCAGGTATTCAAATCCTGGAATGCTGTGAAATGGCCCTGCTGACCTGTTGGGACATTCTGTTGCGTGAACATCAAATGGTTTGTGGTGTGAAATGAAATTTCAATTCAATGTGACTAATAGAATTGGAATGGTGTGGATAATGATGATGCTAGTGAAAAATATTTTTTGATGATGCATGAACTGTAATGATACTGTTGAAGCATAATTTATAATAAAGATAGTATACAGTGATGATACTGGTGATATACAAGTGGAGATGAAAACATGCAAGCTAAAATGAGACATGAATAGTAGAACTGTAATGTGTATGACCTGATCTAGGCCGTGGGCTGTTGTGCGAAAAAGTGCCTAGAAAAGCAATTTCGTGGCACTCCCCTGGGAAATAGATTTTCTGTGGTTCAATTCATAGAACCATAGATGCTCAATTACCACAAAAAGTTCCCAAGCAAAAAACTTGCCCAACACCAAGAAAATGGGTGATCAGTGATTATCCTCTATTAAATTGTAGTACAGCAAGAAAATGTGAAATTTTGTATTCAATTACAACAAAAATGACTCGCACTATCAGAAAGCTTACAAAATCCTACATATAAGACATTTAAACAGTTTTTTTATATCAAAAATTGTTTTCGAGTTATACGCTGTCAAAAACGCGTTTTTGACCTAGTACCCAGTCCTTATTGCGACATTTTTGTCCAATTTTCACATTTAAAACAGCAATAACTCAAAGACTATTTGAAAAATCAAAAAACTGTTTAAAAGTCTTATATGCGGTTTTTTGTACGTTTTCCGATGATGCAAGTCATTTTTATTGTAATTGAATTATAAAATATTTAAAAAAAATTTTTGTAGTGATGTACCTACTAGCCTCCTCCGCAGGCATCTCACCCGACGAATCGGGTGGTGGGAAAAAGTTTGGTGAGATGCCTGCCATAAATCGACACAAAAATGTGCACTGCGCATACCGGTTCGCGCATGCAAATTTCGACAAACTCAAACTTAGGGGGAGTAGGAAGGGCTTGCGGCAAGGAGTGAAGAAATTTTTGTTTTCAACACGATGGCTTAAAAGACGAGTAAACCTGTAAAATTAACGAATAATCCTGCTTTTTAACATTGTATATACACAGGGAACTTTGAATAAGGAGCTGATAACGTTATCGTCACCCGAAACGGCGATTTAATGGATTATTTAGAGACAACGAGTGATTTTCCAGAGCAGTCAAATATTCACGTTGCCGTCGATTCATGTCAAGACAGGATTTTAAGTGAAAGTTTATCGTTGATATATACATATTTCTACTCAAATTGTCGACTACATTTTATATGATAATAAGCGGAAAGTGCAGTGATTTAGTCGAAACTATAACACGAAAAGGAACGAGCGAAAATTGTCAATATATATTCAACTGTTCACATATCTGTGACTGTGGTAATATACTATTAATATGTACTTCTTGTCTTGTAACATTGTTTTAATACGCTTGTATGGAAGGAAAATCGCTAATAAAAGTTTTCTTATTGCGGAATACACTGTTCAATTTATCCCTTGGCCTTGGACAAAGACAAAGTTTTCAAACTTGAGTGTCTCAGATGTGGCAAAAATTTATTAAATAGCAAATGCTTTCTTAATTAAGTCAATACTCAATAGCCCTGTTTTAACTTTTAATATATGGGTGTGAGGTGCCTAGACATAAGGGAAAGGACAACTGGAATTTAATAGGAATCTAATAGATTTCCAAGTGACGGTTTATGTGGTGCAACAGAATATAAAGACCTGTCTTAATAACATTTGGCTTGGATTTGTTAATAACCAATGGGGGCATTACATTCTATTTTGCTTGCCAAGTTCACAGGCAAAATATTTGCATGGATAAAAT